CAATGTTTTCGTTTGTTGTTGACGTGCTCGGGCCTCCGGCACGCTCTTCGTCGTTCGCATATTCTCGGCTCTCTGAGAACATTTTATACCACCGATAAACGTTGCTTCGGTCCAAGGTAGCTTCACCATATGCCACAGTCAACATTCGGAATGCGTCCGTGCACTTAATTTTGATAGATTCTTTGATCCATTTTTTGGAATAGGCAAAAATCGAAGACGAGCAAAAACACGTCCAAGCAAAACAGCTGTCAAAGATAAACTGAATATTCAAAATGGCCGAACTTGTCGGTTAAGTGAGGGACATGAGTACCAACATAACGCCACAAAAAAATCGAAAATCGAATATACGTAACCCGCGGAAATTCAAAATTCGCGATACTTTTTGAACAGACCTTGTATCAAATCAATTGCACACGAACTGCTGCACCTCTTCCTTCGTTGTGAAGCGCTGTCCACCAAAAGCTTCATTGAGTGGCTCAAACATATGGAAGTCGCATGGTGACAGGTCTGGGCTGTAGGGTGGATATTCTAGGAGAGCCCAGTGCATATAGGCCACTTATTGTTGTGTTACTGCTGCAGTGTGGGGTCTAACGTTGTCATGGAGAAGCAACACACTCCTGATCGGAATTCTGCGTCTTTTTGATCGATAGGCAGTTCGAACTGAAGTTTCTCAGAGATTTCAAGAACAGTGCCGATCGCCTTCGATGAGTTCTCGAATAGCCTAGGTGTTTTGCGCTGTGATGCTGGTGCGTGGACGTCGGCAATGTTTTCAACNAGATACTTTTTGAACAGACCTCGTACTAGTAGTTGACAGCGAATTTGTTAAATATGTATCAGCTCTCGTGATATAAATCAAGTAAATATGAGAATAGGCCAATAAGAGCTTTGATGCTGTTGTTCTGTGCGAATAAATCATCATTATAGGACATAAAATCACAGTTATCACTATCTGGTGATGATCATCGACGTGTTTAGTAAATTTGTCTGAATATAACTGACACCGGAAAAAACGACTAACACAGTAATAGAGGCCTTCCGTCGCGTGCTCTCAAAAATGGAGGTCGGATATCAGGGTGTTTGCAGATCAACGGAAATAAAAAAATTTCTCGATCCAGCGCTTCAACAATTTTTTAAGGAAAATAACATACGTTTTTGCACAGTTCGTAATTCTGATGTCAATGTCGCCGTGACCGAGCTTCAACAGAACGCTAAAGCAACGCTTATGGCGATACTTCACTTATGAAAATTTACATCTCAATATCGATATTTTGCAAAACATCATGCGCGTTTACAACCACATTTGCTATTCCACTATCAAGATGCAGCTGGCGAGCGTCACATTGGAAAACCAGCGCGTAGCTCGTGAAAATATGAAACATTGTTATTTCAGTCTCGATACGCGCGAAGGAAAACGAAGCTCTTAATAAAAAAGCTAAATATCGTGTGGGCTATTTGGTATAACACCCTACCTCAGTAGAGTATGAAATACCTTCGAGAATGGATAAGAGGCAAGGATCTTGTACCGAGGAGATATTTTTTATTTATTGTGTTTTCGAGTAGCGAAATCCTCGTGCGTATGAAATGAGCGATCTGATGGACGAAGATATAGACGGGATGTTCTCCGAATAAAAATTAGCTCTGATGAACGAAAATTTGCAACTAGAGAAGTTTATCGTTGGCAAGGTGATAAACGGTAAACGACGCGGAGACGCTAAAAACTGTTGGGTCTAAGCATAATTCCGTTGCGAAAATTGAATAAATTTCAAGCGGAAAATAATGAGCAAAAAAGCGATTTTAGTCATCTGAATATATTCCATTCTGTTCAATGATATACTGCCATCTTTCCACGAGCTCATTATCTTTCTTTCATAGAATTCTTGATATTTTTGGGGAAAGAAGTCATCCAAGTGGTTTTTAAAAACATCCAGGGAACTGAAGGTTTTGTTATTCAAATTGTTCTGTAGCATCCGGAACAAGTGATAGTCTGAAGGTACAAAGTCCGGACTATTAGGTGGGTGCACCAAAACATCCCATCCAAACTGCAATAACTTTTGCCGGGTCATCAGAGAAACGTGTGGTCTAGCGTTGTCCTGGTGAAACACAACACCCTTTCTGTTCGCCAATTCGAGCTCTTTCTGATCGATTGCTCGCTTTAATTTGGTCAGTTATAAGCAGTACTTAATCGAATCAATCGTTGTTTTGGTTGGTAGCAGCTCATAATAGATGATTCCATTCCAATCCCACCAGATACTCAGCATGACCTTCATCGGGCGTAATCCAGACTTTGCGAACATCTAAGCAGCCTCCCCGTGCTTCGACCATGATCTTTTTCGACTGACATTGTTGTAGAAAATCCACTTTTCATCGCCACTGATCATCCGCTTTAAGAATAGTTCGGTTTTATGGCGTTTGAGCAGCAAATCGCAAGCCGAAATTCGGTCCATTACATTCATTTTGCTCAGTTCATGCGAGACCCAAACATCAAACTTGTTTACTGTCCTAAGCTTCCGTAAATGTCTCGAAACAGTTAATTGGTCAATGTTGATGTAATGTCCGACCTCTGTAGTTGCCAAATGCCGGTCGGAGTCGATTAAAGCCTCGATTTGATCGACGTCAGAAGTGACTGGCCGACAAGAACGAGGAACAACTTGGAGATCAAAATCTCTTCAACAAAATTTCGCAAACCTCTTCCAACACACACTTTCGCTTACGGCATTCTATCTGTACACGGCGCATATCTTTTTGTGAGTTTGTGACGCGTTTTTGCCTTTTCAGAAATAAAAAAGCGAAATGCACCTAAAATACACGTTTTTTTTCCATGTCCAAATATAATTAAACTTCGTATTCGTTACGGATCTCGATGAATACTTTCCTAAAATGTTGGCACAA